TGTTCTGACACTAAGACACCTTGACATTATATATGGACCTGATTTAGTTCTCAAAGAAATTGTAAGCAGCTCCAACGTGGCAGAGGAAATAGCAATAGGAAACTGAGAATGTGGCAGGTGAGATCAGACACATGATGTCCTGGAAAGCAAGAGAAGACTTTTCTGAACACTTTAGCTATTCCTCTACTGCACTCCCTGTACCCAAAGGCATCACTCTAGTGGGGAAGGAGAGCTGAGAGGTTTGATAGTGGTCATTTTAGATATGAACACAGGTACTTTGTCTTTAGTCTATGAGAAGTAAATAGTACAAATGGAACTATCTCTCTCACCTTAAATTAATAGAAAAAAGGGGAAAATAGATTAAACATTTGTTTTTAGGCTCCAGGAAAATAAATACTGAGGAATTGTGATATGTAAACACTAATGACATTTTGTGGGTCAAGAGAAAAAAATAAAACAAGGATTTTGGGTAAGAGGGTTCACAAATCCCTAAATATTCTGTGTTCCAGATCTAGAAAAAGGTAGTAGCCTAAAAAGAAATTTAGCTCCTGTAGATTTTGACCAGTTCTTCCACATAGAAGATGAAAACTGAGGTCAGTACTTGAGGCTAAGAATGAGGGATTGGATTCCTGCCCTAAATCTAAATTAAACACACACACACATCCAAAAACTGGCATCAAACCACTTTCTAGAACTACATTTATAGGAAGTGGTTTACTTAGGGATGTGACAAGATAGAGACACATTCTGCCCCAAGGAACTGAACAAATCTTCTATCTGTCCCGAGGACCATCAGTGATCTCCATTAAATGATTGCTGATCAGGATCAGAAGACAACACACTAAGCTTTGGCTCAGGACAGAGTGCTTAGGAGAGTCAGATGAGGTAACTAGAAGAATGAGCACACCAAAGAAGTCAAAAAGAAAGAGAAAAGTCAGAGGGAATCTCCCCCTCAGAACCATGCTGCAAACTACCAGGACTTGTGAAAAGAGGCATTATATATGCACACTACAATATACCCTCAATATGCAAAATACTCACTAAGAAGCAAGGAGAAATGAACAAAACAAAATAGATGCTTAAATGCATCTATTATTGTCAATATAACTAGATATTAAATTAATCAAGAACAGTAAGTTTGTTTGACAAACATAATTTGCAAATTCTGAAGCTTTGTGTGGTAGATGTCCCCATCTTAAACCTCTGTGATTATGTTAGGTTACATAGCCACGAGGGATTAAGATGACTATCAGATGAAACTCATCAGTAGACCTTAAAATACGGAGATCATTTCAGAATATGTAGCTGGATCAAATGTAAACATAGAGATTCTTAAAAGTGGAAGAGGAAAGCTCAAGGGGAGAATCGGAGGGGAACTGAATACAGAAGAAGGGCAGAAGTAATATTGTTTTCTTTAAAGATGGAAGAAGGGGGCTTCTAGATACCAGAAAAAGGAAGGAAAGAGTTTCTTTTCTAGAGCTTCCAAAAAAAGAAGCAGCCTTTTCAACACCTTGATTTTAGCTCATTTAGACCTAGGCTGAAGTAAGCTACAAAACTATAAGATAATTACTGTGATTTATGGCATTTGAAGCCATGGAATCTGTGGTAATTTTTTATAATAGTTATAAAGAGCAAATATTCTGCATCCCACAAAAAAAGAGTATATGTATTTTTAACTGAGTTATAATTGACATATAACATTATATTGGTTTCGAGTGTACAACACAATGATTCAATATTTGTATACACTGCAAATGTTCACCACAATAAGTCTAGTTAGTAATTATAATTTAGTCACCTTGCTGTACCTTACTTCTCCAAGACTTATTTATTACATAATTGGAAGTTTGTATCTTTTGACCACTTTGCCCATTTTGTCCACCCCTCACTCCTTGCCTCTGGCAACCACAAGTCTGTTCTGTGTATTTATAAGTTAGGTCATATGATATTTGTCTTACTCTGACATATTTCACAATATTTCACACTTTCTGACATATTTCAACATGCCCTCGAGGTCCATCTGTGTTGCCACAAATGGCAAGATTACATTATTTTTCATGGCTGAATAATATTACACACACACACACACACACACACACACACACACGTTCCATATCTTGGCTATTATGAATATTCCTGCAATGAATATGGATATACAGATATCTTTTTGAGTTAGTTTTTAAACTTATTATTAGGGAAATTAAAAGACTACATTAATAATATAGTATATCATATTTATAATATAATGATACAGTATTATAAAGGTATCAGATATTTCCATATTGATATACCGATTCAATGCAATCAAAACAAAAACTCTAAGTGTGTGTGGTTGTAAATGTAGAAACAGCTTATAAATTTTTGGCAATGTAAAATGCAAAGAACAGCTAAGAATTTTTTTTTTTTGGATGGGGGAGAAGGTCAGTGAGAGAGGAAAAGAATCCCAAGCTCACGTGGGGTTCAATCTCACGACCCTGAGATCATGACCTGAGCCCAAATCCAGAGTCAGATGCTTAATCAACTGAGCCATCCAGGCTCCCCCGAGTAAGAAATTTTTTGAAGAAAAAGTTGAAAATTTCAATATCGAGACTAGAAACCTTTAATTGTGCTTATACAATATTGGTGCAAGTTTAACCAAATAGACTAATTCAAGAATATCACATGTACAGGAACATTATCAGGCCTCTGAGAATTCTGTCTCAGGCGACTGTGTCTAAACGGTCTAGACTGAATCTCCTAGGGATCCAATATCCACTACTGAAACCACCAAGCTATGTTCCATCTCAAAGGAAAAGAGTTAATATGCTTGACCTCATCTCTTCTCTGGGGATGGAAAAAAAAATGGTGGTACCCACATAACATGAGTTCTATCTTCTGGGAATATAAGGTAATGCATAAAAATGTTCATCTCACTTCTATGGAACATGTCCCAACCTAAAATTTTACTCGCTTCTTTTCTAAACAGATATTTTCCACTACTCCTGTAAGGCAAGAGATAGAAGACAATTTGGTGAGCTGAAAACTACAGCCATTTAGGGAAGAGAAAAATGCTACACCAGTTCTTTGATTTTTATCAAACAGTGTAGCCTTGGGTTTACTTAGTGTCCAAGTAGGGTCTCTGTGCTAGAGGACATGACTCTGGGAGAAAGGAGTTCTGCTGACACCAGTGATTCCATAAGAAGACAGCTCCTCACAGAAAACGACTGACTTCATGAGCAGACCAACTAATGTGACCAGGAATACAGCGGGGAATCCAGAAGGAAAGAAGAGCTCTTTGGGTAAAAGAAGTGAAGTCAGACGAGATTCAGACTGAAGCAGCAAACCTTGGTGTGTATGTTTTCTGTTGACCTCCTTTTTAGTTTTAATGATCAGTACTTTATTTTTTTCCCCTTTAAATGTATTCCCTGAGACCCTGAGCAAATGTGCTTCTTGTCAGACGCAGGGAGTCTGTGCTTCAGGAGGCTGAGTTGAAATCTAGCCTAAAATTTGACATTTGGGGGCTTTCACAGTCTACCTACTTTTTATACCACAGGAGATGAGGTGGCCATCCTTTTAGGGACAATTTTGTGAAGACTTTGAAGTCTTCATGTAATTGTAACAAGTTCAGTGCCCACTGGCTGTTAGCCTGCATCAGACCTTCAGGTGGAACTTAGGGCATTTGTTCTTATGGGCGAGGAGGATGAGTCATGGTTGGGGCAGGGGCGTGAGGTTGCTTTTGGACAGTGGGAACTAGTTACATTCCTCCCAGGTTGATGTCTTGTTCACTTTGACTAATTAAGGACTCCAGCCATGAGAGAATCATCCCCCATGTGAGAGAACGTCGATATATAGAGCTTTGGCTGGGATTCTGGCTGAGATATCACAAAATCCCACATGGCTCATCCCATTCCTCCCTCCTTGTCACACACCTACAGATTCCTGCCAAACGCAATAATATAGAGCTGCTGTGACCCATCCTCAAAACCCACTTCCTTTCCATCAAAGCTTTTTGAATGACCTTGTAAATTTGTTGAAGAGGGTAAGAACCAAACCTCTTCCAAACTGGCTGAAAGATGGCTCCAGGTGTCCTGGCCTCTTGTGCTGTACTCCCTGCTTCACCATTACTGGTCCCCTTTGCCAAAAATACTTTAAAATAGATCATACACTGGAGTTAAAATGGAAATGCAAAAGGCAGGCTCTATTTAGTCCAAAGATGGTGTCCAAGCTCTGGCACACCAGACATGAAAATGTTCAGGAGGTACTATTTTATTATTTTTAATTTTATCTCTAGGAGGTGAGACTCTGCTCTGCCTGACTTGGCCCAGGCCAATCACCCTGGCTGGCATCTGTTATGGAGGCAATGTTATACTCACTGGTGGGTAGAAGTCTTTCCCCTACTAAGTTAGGGAACAGAGATCCTCCAAGGTTTAGGGAATCATCCCTGAGACCATAAATCATCCTCTGAGCTCACTGCCCTTTGCCCGAGTCAGGAGAATGCTGCTTACCTGTCCCCACGCACTTGCTGGTTGATGCCATCTCTCATTTTCACATCCTGGGAAGCATCCCTAATTTGAACCATATTTCAAATGCTGTGCAACAAATCTCCTGTATCACCCACAGCTCTGGAATCTGTTCTTTCTTTTCCCTTCCCTTTTCATTACCTTTTCTACTACTCTACTGAAATCCTTCAGTTTATTATATCAAAACTATTGTTGGAAACATAGTATTTGCTGTATAAAAGTCCATTACTCGCAGCTCATCCCATGTAATAATTGTAATATTTCCTGCTTGTCTCCTTCCCCCACTGTCCCTCTTACTGACGTACACAAACTTCTTCTCCTTACATACAATATGTTTTCTTTTTTCCTGAGCCTGGACCCATCCCAAATAATCTACATTAAGAAAGGGACATAGTTACTGAGGTTTAATCATATGAAATTGCTGACCTCCAAAAATAACCCTCCTGTAAGGTGTATTAATAAAGGTATAAAGGAAATAACGTGGGGCCACTGGCAAAGAAAAGGGACAATAACAAGTCAGTTCTATAGGTGCCAACATCCAGGGGACAGAGGAAGCCCGAATGTGACAGTTGTTGTCCCCCACCACGGTCAGCCCCAGCCCATTCTGACAGCTGATTTGACTTCGGGGCTCCAAGACCAGAGGGTCCCAGACTGAAGAGACCATGTATAATTTGAGCTGTTACAATCCCGGTTCCTTCATCCTTGTGGGAATACCCGGTCTGGAGAGGTTCCACAGCTGGATCGGGATTCCCTTTTGTGTCATCTATGTTCTGGCTGTTGTGGGCAACTGCACCCTTCTCTACCTCATTGCTGTTGAGCGCAGCCTCCATGAGCCCATGTTTTTCTTCCTCGCTATGCTGGCTACCACGGACTTCATCCTGTCCACGGACACAGTGCCCAAACTACTCAGTAACCTCTGGCTGGGCTCCCAGGAAATTACCTTCTCTGGCTGTCTCACCCAGATGTTTTTCCTCCACTTCAGCTTTGTAGTGGACTCAGCCATCCTGTTGGCCATGGGATTTGATCGCTATGTGGCCATCTGCTTCCCCTTGAGGTACACCACCATCCTGACTCCGCAGGTGGTCATCGAGATTGTGGTGAGCATCATCGTGAGGAGCTTCTTCATCATCTTGCCAGACGTTTTTCTGGTGAAACGGTTACCCTTCTGCGGGACACGCATCATCCCACACACATACTGTGAGCACATAGGTGTTGCTCGGCTTTCCTCTGCTGACATCTCCATCAACATCTGGTACGGATTTTTTGTGCCTGTCATGACTGTCGCCTCGGATGTGATCTTTATTGCTGTTTCCTATACCTTCATCCTTCGTGCTGTCTTTCAGCTCTCATCTCAGGGGGCCCGTCAGAAGGCCCTCAGCACCTGTGGTTCCCATGTCTGTGTTATTCTCATGTTTTACACACCTGCCGCCTTCTCCATCCTTGCTCATCGCTTTGGGCACAGTGTCCCTCGAAATGTGCTCATCCTGTTTGCCAACTTCTATGTGGCCATCCCCCCTGCTCTAAATCCTGTTGTCTATGGAGTGAAGACCAAGCAGATCCAGGACAAATTTATTCTTCTCTTCTCTTTAAAGAAGACACAATGAGTGGGGAGGGTCACTGAAGGAGACGTTGAGGTAAAATTCAAGTAGGTGAAATTTTATGTAAGACGGGAGACATAAAAATAAAGCTGTAACTCCTATTAACCTGAAATTTTAGCATTCTAGCCATGAGCAAAGTATGGGAAGGGAGGAAAAGAGAGAAAATCTTCTAGACTTTCAGAAAATCGAGCCTCTTCTTGGTTCAGTTTTCTCACCACTTGAATGAAGAAGGTAATGATGGGTACACAAGAGCATTAATACTCAGGCTTACATTTTTCTTGCTGCTAATTTTGAGATATTTGAAGGCTAGATATTTTCCAATATACAACTCACCCTTGTATTTCTCAGTTCCTGAGTTAAAGACAAAAGTTCCTTCTTTTAGTAGCTATCAATGCTCTCAACTATAACTACCTAACTTTCTGCTTTGAGCTTCAGTCCCGAGTCTATAGATTATTAATCCCCTCTTCTTTGCCCTGTACTTGTTTTATTTTTTCCTCATCCTTCTCAAATTACATACAACTAATTATCTTTTGTTTCTTTTTTCTTTAGTTGCATGCTCTAAGAAAAATTTCAGTACCCTTAGTCCATATTTTACAGGTATTAATTAATTTAATTAAAAATAATTTATTTTGGGTGGCTCAGTTGGTTGAATGACTGCCTTCGGTTTGGGTCATGATCCTGGAGACCTGAGATCGAGTCCTGCATAGGGCTCCTGGCTCTGTGGGAGTCTGTTTCTCCCTCTGACCTTCTCTCCTCTCACGCTTTCTCTCACTCACTCGCTCTCAAATGGATAAATAACATCTTTAGAAAATAAAAATAATTATGATAGGGTAATATTAGTTAATTCATTTCTCAGAATAGGAAGTGGAGATTTACAAAGATTACAGAAAGACAATTAGTAGATTTAGGATCCAACACTTGGTCTGTCTGATCCAGAATTCTTTTCCAATTCCTTCCTGAATATCTACCCACTTGAATGGCTTACAAACGCCTCCCACTTTATTTTCCCAAAACTGACCTAGAAACTCACTAACTTCCTCCAAAAAAAGTGCTTCTCCTTTTCAGAGTTCTTTTATGGTGAATGAATGGCACTACCACCAACATGAATTGTCAAGGCAGAAACCTGTGGCTTGTCTTTGATTTATCCTATGTCTTGGTCTAGCAAAATTAAGTCAATATTTGGTTTAAATATTTTATTTCAAGATGCTTGTAAGTCATATCAGTAGATACACACATGAGAGTCTCACTTTTATCATGACCATAGAGCTTGCCTATGTCCTTTTCTATGATCTGTCCCTCTGAGAGTATTTCAGAGTCGTCTTTTTAAAGGAGTTCCAACCCTGCTCCATTCAATCCACTCTCTCTATAAAAGCTAGAATGGTCATTTTAGAATTCATATGATTGTGTCACTTTGCACCTCACATCTCCTCAATAATTCCACTGTCTTTAGGATCAATGCAAGGAATGGAAGAATCTAATGAAAAGAGCGATCTTCCATAAAAGTCAGAGCTTTACATTCAATTTATATTTATTTACACTTCATTTATGTTTCTTTCACTTGCACATCCCTGACTCTTTGAGCAAGTAATTACTGAAGCGATATTCTTTCTGTGTGTCATACTCAGTGTCTGGTTCTTTAAAACAACAAGAACAACATGTTGGTGTGAGTAGAGTGTGTATTAAGTAGGGGCTGGGAAGGAACCATGTGTGTTCCTCTTAAGAAACTCTCAGGATTAAAAAAATGCCCATTTCCTACACTCTCCACTGAAAAAGAGGCCATAAATTTAATCAAGACGAACATGTTAAATTACTCGGGAATAAGAAGTAAATAGTAATGTTGGTATAAGGAGGTAAGATCCTCTGTGTGTGTGGGGGGGTCTACATGTGTGTTGACATTTTCTTTTATGTCTGTAAGCCCTTGGGGAGTTCAGAAGATGCACAGGTAGGGCTGTTTTATCCAAACCACAATTACAAACCATCATACTTATTTGCCTATTTATTTGTCTATCCACACCTACACGATGAGCTCCGTGAAGGCAGAAACTTAGTCCTAGGCATCTTTTTATGCCCTTTTATATGAAAATATCTGACACACCATGTGTTCTCGATAAAGATTTCATACATATTCAAACTGTATTTGAAACCCCTTGATGTCATTATCCTTAACTTTTCTTTTCTTCCTTCTCTATCCAGTTTAGATTCCAACGTATGTTACTGCAGCCATTGTCTTGTTCATCCTAAACTCAACTTGTTCTAAATTCTACTGTGTCTCTTACATACTCAGTATAAAAAAAGGACTCTTAATGAATCTTAATGAAATTAGCCCTGTATTTTGGGGAAATTAGAGATAATGACTGCACAAGATAGACTGATACTACTGTTGATGAATGAAGACATACACCACCATCGTTGTCTACTTTCAGCTTCTCCAATGCATCATATTTCTCCTTGTCTTCTACCTGTGCTTTCTCTTCATTCTTTGCCCAGTAGTTCCTGTTTAGATTCAACTAAAAATTCCCTCCGATATTCCTTTTTCAGTCCTGTATATTAGATTAGTATAGCTCCTATACATTCTCATTGCACAATGGACCTTACATTGTAGGACTTAGCACAACTTTAATAAGATGATTGGTTGTATACTTGATTGTTTAGTGTCTGTTGTTCCATTATATATCATCAAAGACCAGGCTCATGCCTGCTTTGTTTACCATTGCATTCCTATCATTTATAAGCTCCTACTTTGTAACAGATGTTCAATAAATGTTTGCTCAATAAAAGAGTCGAAAGGAATGAGGTTTTTAAAAAGATTTATTTATTTGTTTGTTTGTTTATTTATATTATGTTAGTTACCATGCGGTGCATCATTAGTTTTTGATGAAACAAATGAGTTTTAATGAATGAATAAAATCCCTTCTGTTTGGTGAGCATCTACCTGGATTTGTAACTCTGAATTAACAGAGAGAAAATTAAGGAGAGTCATGGAAAAAGACTTATTTTCTCCACAATAAGGTGATAGTTGTTTCTCCACTTATTCTTCAGAGCCTTTCTTTAACTTAAATATTTCTAAGTTATTTTTCCCTTTTTAGAGATGCAGAAACTGATTTTCAGAACAGTGAAAGTGCTTTGTTAGAGGACAAAAGAAGGGATGAGCAGAACAGGGAACATTCCACATGGTTAGCCACTAGGCATTGAAAGTAGACATCTTTGTGGATCTGATGGGCGGTCATACGTGGGGTTCTGTTGGAAGGATGAGACTTATCCTAGCTGCCTTGCTATGATTTTCAGATTTGTGTGTGCTTTGTATTAGACATTTGTCCTAAACACATAGATTAGCAGCCTGTAGCCTGAAAAATTGACTAAATACTGAGTTAATGATGATTCTCAACTGAGGGAAGATGGACAGAACTACCAAGCAAGACTGAACATTGAAGTGAGTATTCTGAGAGGACAGGCCTCTTCACACCTGGAGAGATGCAGCCCTAGGCAGAAATATCTCCAGGGTTTTGTTATATAAGGCTAGAAGCTGATTTATTTCAATCCAATAGACATTTATTGATTTTCCACTATGAAGTACCCTCAGCCAGGGATTCAGAGGAGGATGAAACAGTCTCTGCACATGAAATTTTATGAGTTCTATAACTGGGCTGACACATGGTAGAATGACTCTTGCCAGACTTTCTTTATCAAATTACTGATAAAGCTAGATCCAGACCCCACTGAGGTTCAGGTACTCTAACATCACGGATTCCAAAATTTCTAATCCACCACTAATATGAGCTGAGGTGTAAGTTTCTAAACTGGGAAAGTGTTAATTTGGTTGAATCCTTGTTCATGTCCCACACTGACTTGAAGCCTTGGGACCTGAGGCCTATAGATCCTCTGGGCTCATGACCTTCTGTTCTAGCCTGTCTTTAATCCGTAGAGATGACACAGGAAATGCATTTGCAGTCCACTCTTTCAGTCTCTGTGTTGGTCTTCCCTACTGTGAGCATGGTCTTATGTCTGTCCCTTATGTCCTTTTGTCTGTCCTTACTAATCCTGGAACTACTTCTTTTGTTCTTTGGTCTGTTTTTCACCTGCTGTGTTTCTGCACACTCTGATCATCACCTTGCCTTTGCAAAGCAGTTCTGGGACCAGGATCTGTAAGGTTTAAGCCCTTGGTGAGCATACAGAACTATTAGGGAATAATGGAGTGGAGCCGATGAGAAAAGTTGCTGGTGAAGAGGAAAGAGGCAGGTGGGGAAGAAGGGGCTCCAAGAAAGAAGAAAGGACAAGATCAGAATTCTACAGATAGATTATAGAGCTGACACTCCTGCAAAGAGAATGGTGTGAAAGAGAGGTGTGCATTAGGAGCTTAATTCTGAGCCCCTCCCACTTATATTCCTAAGATGTTTCTGTGATTTTTCTAAAGATCAGAAATGCTATGGATGTATAAACAAACAAACAAACAAACATTAGTGGTCATGATAGGTATAGAATTGACCATTTCAGACTGGGGCCAGACACATGGAGATTGAAATTTCATATGCTATCTCAGAGTTTTTTTAGGTTATGTTGTATGTGTAAGCATGGGTTTATATTTGAAGATGCATTTATGAATGAGTGTCCTGTTGTTCTTTGGGATGATGTGGGCAAACACCAAGATATCCACTCACCCTATACCCCATAGCAAGACACAAATACAAAATGAAGTCGAACAGTTGTTTTTTGGAATGGGTCGTAAAATAGTCCTTTTGTGACCCACGAACCAAACATGGATATTCTTTTCTCTACAATGGGGCAGAAGAAAGATATGCACATAGACACATTTAGCATAAAAAAGAGCAATAAAGTCAAGGTATGGATTATAATGCTTCATAACTAAGATATTACTGAAGGACCTGTCCTTTGTTTAGTGCTGGAGGAGATGGAGTGTGTAGAGATATTGGGTGTGTCATTGCCATATTCCTAGCCTTAGGAGGGAGGAAAAAAATGCTCAACAATCAGTCAGAGACCAGTAAATTGGG